TCACGGGAGTGCTGGCTGCCGCCGCGCTGACGGGAAACGCGTTAGCCAAAGCCTCCCACCAAAGCTTGAGCCAAGCTACTCCAAACAGCAGAAGCCAGTTTAACTGTGGTCAGTAAGGGAATGGTAATCATCATACAGCTGATAATCACAGCACAGTAAGGGATTTGCCCTGTAAGAATTCTTTTGTGAATGACTTGAGCCTATTTAGGACTGCAAAGAAAATCCTCTTCTGCAGGCAGGATGCAGGGTGGTGGTGTCTGACTTAGGTTTTTGTAGTTAGTTGGTTGTAGTTTGCCTTTTTTTAAAATCAGTTTCAACAGGCATTAAACACAACTAACCTGGAGGGCATCAAGGGACTAGACAATGAAGTTAGAACTCAAAAGATTGTTGCAACACCCAACCACGTTGCATTTTAAGAAGCACATCTCAGCACATTCAATTTTCAATGAAGTCCTACCTTCCAAGCGTGCCACAAAATGTTAATCCAAGAGATGGTGTTGCTTTTGGTGCCAGTTTGCTTGTTGGTGTACCTAAAAGAGAAAAGTTTTGTTAATTGCTATCCTATTTTTTCTTTTTAAATAAAAAGATACCTTTCAGTTAAAATACTAATTCCTTCCAAGAGGTCTGTAGAAGTGTAATGAAACAAGTAACAAGCATTCAAGATAACATTTGCTTTTAAGAAACAAGCTAGAAGACAGGTCATACAAATCATGGGCTTACCTCCAGTCTTCCCTGGAACCTTAGTCTGACTAGCAGAAACGGACAGAACTCTGGCCTTGGCCTTTGGACAAAGGCTTCCTTTTGTTGCACTTCCATCTTCATTCTGCTGACAGAGTTTCTGCAGACTGGGAACAGAGCTCAGCCTCTGAATTCCACTGCCTGCAGCCTCAGATGCTGTTGCAGCTGAAGATTTGGCCATTGTCACAGCACTAGATATTCTGGGAGTACTGGCTGACCTGGCTGGCTCCCTGGCTTTCTCACTATTGGCAGTCTGCAGAGATGACAGTCGGGTAGGTCTGACAAGGGACAGCCTGTTTATATTAGATGGAAACTTAGAGCCACTCACACTAGTTTTTGAAGTCACATTTGATTTTCCTGAAACAGAAAGTCAAGTTACACTTCTAAATCATCATTTTTTTTTCCTAAGTTTTTTACTAATCAGACTCACATAGGAATGAACCAGCATTTACAGCTTTTAGATTTATGTTAGACTCAAGTTTAACATACAATTACTGAAAGCTTACCCCCCAAATTCTCCAGCAATTGTCTGTTTTAGAAAGTCTCCACACCAAATTCCTGAATTATTGCAATCGAGTCAAAGAATACTCTTCAAGGAATACCAAAACAGCTTGCAGATTCTAGTTACATTTTCAACATTTTCTCCCAGCATAGCCAGCTCTGTTCCCTTAAGCAGGCACTGAAAGTAATAGTTCAATCTACACTGGCTAACACCACGGGCTGAACCAGCCCATCTCTCCTTTTACTGTATGGTTCTGATTTTTAGTCTGTAGGTTCCTCATTAATAGGATGAGCCTAATTAGACAATTCTATTGTCTGTATAAAACAAGTCTTATTATGCTTTAACTTTTACTGATACATTATCCACCCAGAAACAAAAGTACAAAACAAAAATATGCAGTAACTTGGGATTCTTTAGGAGACTATTTTCCTGATGCTTCAAGGCTTACTGAAAGGTTCACATTGATCTCATTATACTAGAAGTCTCTTGGTTGTATTTAGTTATCTTTTCAGAGAATTTTTTTTTCCATCTGCTTGAATAAAGCTTATCCTTTTATTAGGCTTACAGAAGGCACTAACTTTGAACTAGACCTTCCACCTTCCATATTCCAGTTGTTTGGTGCAGGTTGGGGTTTTTGTTTAATTCAAGTTAGACAACTGTACATCATTCAGAAGCTCACATACTTGCCTATAACAGATTAGATCATGTATAAAAACAGGTTTCCTGAGGCATTTCTTACTTTGTGTCAGACATGCATGTAGGCATCGGGCTTACATAATTCTAGTTTTTACAAAACATATCAAAAAAACCATATCTAAGCCCAGAGTCTAAGACACACTTAGCTACCTCAAAATTGATTTGTGGTAACAATTTGTAGCAAGATTGATTACCATTTTTTCCTACTGGAGAAATGGGTAAACTTGAATTCAGACTTGAGGTTGTGCTGGAAACTGATGATGAAGATGAAGTATTTTTCCTTGTGATACCACTGGCAACACCAGGAAGCTTCAGATGTGTTGTCTTCTTTAAGCCAGCCTGAATCTGAGATTACAGTTTATTCAAAAGAAAAAAAAAAAAAACATGTAACATCATTTTGCCATGCTTTCCCTTGTTAGTATAGCTTTACACTTGTGCATTTTAGAGAAGCTTCTCCTTCAGATTACATTTTAAAAAGTGAATTTTCTTAGGAACAGTTCATTATACAGAACTGGAACATCAGACCTAGAAGGCTGACTTATTTTTATTTTTGCCACAAACTTGAGTATGGACTTTAAAGGATTAAAAGGAGTAGCCCCAGGCACCAGTATATGCTGGGCACTGGCCAGCTGGAAGGCAGCCTTGCAGGAAAGACCTTTGGGAGTGCTGGTGGACATCAATTTGAGCATGAGCCAGCAACATGCCCCTGCAGCAGAGACTGCTAACAGTATCCTGGGCTGCATTAGGAGCAGGACAAGGGAAGTGATCCTGCCCCTCTGCTCACCACTGGAGAGGCCACACCTGAAGATCTGCATCTAGGTCCAGGCTCCCCAGTATAAGAGCAATTTGGAGCTACTAGGAGGAGTCCAAAAGCGGCACTAAGATGAAGGGACAGGAGCAACTCCCACCTGAGGAGAGGTTTAGAGAGCTAGGGGTGTTTGGCCAAGAGAAAACTTAAGCTCAATCTCATCAATATATAGAAATATCTGAAAGGACAGTGTCCATTGGTGCTCAGTGACAGGGCCAGAAGCAATGGGCACAAACTGAAACACAGGATGTTCTACCTCTGATCATCAGGAAACTTTACTGCAAGGGTCAACGAGCACTGGCACAGGTTAGCTGGAGAGGTTGTGGAGCCTCCATCTTTGGAGATATTCAAAAGCCATCTGGAAATGGTCCTGGTTAAGCAAGAGGTTGGACCAGATGACCTCAAGAGGTCCCTTTCAACCTCAACTATTCTGCAATTCAGGGAAGTGGCATGCAGCAGGAAGTAAGTGTCTAAAGCTTCAAACAGCCATAGGTATTTGACCTTTATACAAGCTATGGGAACCTTTTCCTATGGTATAGTTAACTACACATCAGAAACTGTTTCTTACAGAAAAACAAAGGTAATACTTACTAATCCAACTCATTTATATTTGCTCCTGAGTGTCTTCATTGTGTTATTGACTTGGAACACACATTCAAGAATGGCAGTTACAGACCAGAGACTGCTTTTGCTTGCAACCATTATACACAACAATACAGCTTTAAATTATAAAGTAAACTATATTACACTTTTTTTCATCAGAAGATCACAAAAAAAAATCATATTAAGAATGCTTTCCATTACCTTATTTGGTGCAGGAAGGGCTTTATCTTGCACTGAGGAACCGCCACCGAATGAAGACTCAAAGACATCTGAAGCAGCACTAGATTTATCAGAAATTAGATCCTCAGGTGATCCTATGCTGTTCAAGTCTCTTTTTGTAGAAATGCTAGTAAGTTGTCCTGGTTTGGGCTGCAAATTCCAGTGCAACATTTTAAAAGCTACTAGTGTTTCCAGAAACAACTATAAAGCTTTTTACCCAAATTGGTTGTTAGAAACCAAGATAACGGTCAATAAAGAAGCCTTTGAACCCAGTCAAGTCCTTATTCTTTAGGCTGAGCTAGTTCAGTCTAGCAAGTGTATTTGCTAAGTACTAGAACATGCTTGAACCCAGATATTGGACACCAACCTAAGGTTAGTTCTGCAGCAACAGTTCATGGTCACAAATTTCATATTATGATGTTCACCTACATACAGTAACAGCTGTTCCTTACAGCTACAAGGTTGCCATTTTTCATATTCTACTGCTTTACTCTAGCTTTCCAAAATATCAGACATTATAATAGCAGACTACATCATCCAAACTATTTGGACAGCAGGGTACAATTTGGCTAGTTCAAATATTAAGACTGTGCCTTTTCTTATAGAACCAAAAAACCAAGAAGAGACTAGGACCAAAAATGAGTCAAAGAATCTCCCATTTTCTATAGGTTCCCAAGGAGCCAATATCACATTTCCAGTAAAATCTGCAGTACATACTGGAGCTTAATCCTTAAAGTGTCAGGCAATAAAGTCTAGAAGATGTTCTGCCTAGAGCCTGGGATTTGTGCACAAGGTCTCTAACACAACTGTTTCCCTGCTGTCCTAGAATACATTTTCAGTTTGCCACATAGCTACATCATAAATGTAGCTCCACTAATCAGCGCTGTTCATGATTAAGACAAGTTGTGGAAAGAACAAGAGATACAAGATTTTCCTGTGCTATCCAAATAAGTGTTCCCCTCCGCGCCCCGAAGCTCCACTGACAAGGGTTAACAGCAGGTAAAGCCAGTGCTGCACATCTGGACACTAAGAACAGTGCAGCAATTCTGCCAGCAAAAAAACTGTTTAAACAGAGGCCAGGGATTATGGTATTCACAAACCTAGAATACAATGGAAAGGAATTTGCTTGCAGATGCTCTACACTGTCATAATAGATAAACTAGTTACCTACTATACCATAGTATCAGCCCTGACTTTTCTTTTTTATATATAATCATGTTTCCTGCCCAAGGATCTTATGAGGTAGAGAAGCATCAGAAGATTAACATTCACTTTTTAAAGTAAGAGCTTCTAGAGAGTTTAAACATTCCTAAAACACAAAGGCTCCACTTAAAGAAAACATTGCTCAGAAGCTGTCTTTACCTTTCCAATGATCAACAAATTGCTTTTTCCAAGAGCAGGCAGAGGTTTTGCCATTGGCAGTTTGCCAGTTGTCTTTGTATTTTTTTCTTTAGTTTGCTGTTCTTGTGTCAGAAGTGAACTGGCAACTTCTGCAGGAGACAGATGCATTTTAACAGGGCTTCTGCTGGGAGGAGTATGAAGAGCGTGTGCTTTGTCATCTGACAAAAGTTTGTCAGATTGCTTCTGAAAAAAAGGTGGCAGCTGACATGCTGGGCTATCCTGCACACAGTATGTCTCTCTTTTAACAGCCCTGGGACTTTTTTTTATATTTAGGTTTCTCAGCATTTTAAGTTTTGACTTTGAGTCCTGCACAAATTTTTCTACGGTCTTGTTTTCCCGTTCTTCCACTTGGCTTTTGTTCTTTTCATTCTTGCTTTCAGTCTCAATCTGCAGTGCTAACAAATGAGCTTCTTTGAAAATTTCCACAAATTTCTCTCCTGTAAGTGGGCTCCACATGAGGTTACTATCAGAAGATGATTCACTTATTTTTTTAGCACGTTCTTTTGCTTCAACATTGACAGAAATACATTTCTCTTTGTGTCCCAAAGGTCCAACAAAAACCTCCTCTTCATTCCCACTGCAAAGAAAAATAAGTCAGCCCAGCATCTTACTTGTGTTCATTGTAAAGCTATATTCACCTGTAGACTCTTCACTTACCTTGATGGAGAAAGTGAAAGGTCAAAATCAAACTTTTCATCAGTCAGAAGAGGAAAGCCTGAAACTGTAACAGGGATTTTGTCACAGTGGGAATTTCCAATAAAAAATACTGCATTATGCTTTAACAATTTAGTGAAGCTAATGACAGATGGCAAAAAAAGTTTTAGCTACCAAGTTTAATTGATTAAAATAATAAAAACGTGGTTTTGGTCAGAGAATTTGAAGGTACAGCTATGAATAGGATCATAACTGTGATAGATGCCCAGGTATTGTGAAAGACCTCAATGCTAATTTCTAAGCATCCATAACAGGCACATGAGGTCTGGCTGGAGGAAAGGGTACCAGCAGCCTCCAATCAAGACAACTTCTCCATTTCCTGATATCCACAATATAATCTAGAGCTATATGACAATGCAGTTGTACTATCAGTCAGTTCTTTTCTGGTCAGACCACCACAGGACAGTAAAAGGAGCCATTAAAAAAATCAGTTTTCTTTTTACCTAACATGTATGCTAAATACTACCTGATCCAGAGTAATTTTCTTTTTAGCTAACATATACACTAAGTAGTACTTGAATCCACAGCACATTGTTAAGGACAAGAAACGATCTCAGACTGTACATCAGAGGTGACAGTGTCATGTTGCTATTACTCATGTACTAGAGCCAGCGCTCCACAAGCTCTGGAGGAGACTTGTCAGTCTGAGTCTGGCCACAGCAGCCTATGCACAGAAAAAACTACACAGACAAGACAAAGCAGACACAGAAGGTCTACTGAGCTGAACTGTCTTAACTTTTAATAAGGGCTACATCAAGTAGAGAATAGCCCAACACGTTCTCTGCCTACCATTGCTCTCGGAAACACCCGGTTCTTCTTCAGTCACATGACTTGAGCCACACACTGCCTTTTCTTTGCCTTCCTCCATAGTATCTGTAAAATGCAGAATTAGCTAAGCAGCAGACTTAAAAACAAAACCACAAACACACAAACAACAATAAGGTAATAATGTTATGATACTGTCAAATTAGCAAGAAGGTAAAAATTCCCTTTGAAGACTTTCTTGTATGTTATGTTTAGGGACAGCCACACAAACATGGTTTATGGGATGTCACCCAACTCACCATCCTCTCTTGAAAAGTGCTATAGAATTTTTTGAGACTATGTAAACAAAGTGTTGCAGCTCTGTAAAAAGTCTTTAAATACAGCAGCAATACCCGGGACTTCTGAAATTCTTTAACACAAACTCTAGGTTCAGCAACTTAAACCCGTTACAGCTGCAACAAGCAGCATAGCTAGAGAGTCGCAGCAGAACACTGCCAGCCGACAGGCTGAAAAA